CAGACAGATAAAAATTTTAATAATTGTGTTTTGTTATAAGTACCGTATATACTTTCATATGCAATTAGTAAAAAGCAGTAATTTTGACATTACAAACAGACACTTCAATTTTATTTATTAGTATAGATTATATAAGTACTCGTTATAAAATTACTGTGGGAAAAATACCGGGTACCGCTAAATACCGGAAAGTAAACAATAATTATTTGCACACGGACGATTATATCTCTTTGAAATTAATCTCAATGTCCAGAGGCGATTAATAAAATATTTAAGTCAATATTTCATTTTGAAATTGGGACTAAAAGAACAAAAAAATTTTAAATGGTAAAATTTCTACTGAAATTCCTAAAGTCATTGTTATTGCTAACGAGGGTTGCAAGTTATATTTTTTTAATGTTTTGAAGTTGGTGGAATACTTATTAATGCAGCATGTGGACGTCAGCTGGAGTCCATGGCGCGTGTGCATCAGGTGTCAACGCAGCTGACGACTACCTAGCGCACATTTAGATGTGTTGCATTCACCGCGTGCCAACTTTTAGAGAAACCTTTTTTATCGTAAAAAATTGATAGAAATTTTGAGATAGTATTGTTGAAAATTGTTATGTACTTCTCTGTTATAATATTTTACACTTTAGAAAATGAACCATATGACAAAAATGTTGCTATTATATAATAATCAAAACCATGGTTAAACTTGGGTTACACTTAAAATATTACCTAAGTACTAAAATTGCAACCATTATCTTTATAACAAACCAGATGGCCAGGTAGACTTTGTTCTGCTCTTTCTGACGGTCTTTTGTTCTTTAAAAAATCTTTAAATTCGCAATAAAAATGTTGAGGGTCACTTATCGGGATAGAAACTATTCTATCTCTCAAGTTGGAGCCAGGTATAAACATAATATACAAAATTTTATTAAAAACGGTTGAGTGGTTTCAAAGTTCATCGCAGACAAAAAATGTTACCCGTAATTTTTATATATAAAGATTAATTAAATTCGCGTATGAAATACTATTTTTCTTCTTGATTCTTTAAACCATATTTGTTTAATTTTAAAGTCCTAGTGTAAGTTTTTACATCAATACATTTAATATCCTAATTACTTATGGTATAAAGGAAATGATGAAATGATTTGAGTAAGGTTTTGAAGGCTATTGTATATATTACTTACATGACTTAATTTTAATATTTTATGCGATAGAACCTACTTTTTTGCCGAACCAAATGCGATGTTTTCGAATATACCATTGTGTTACTATCATTTCCAGTAATTGCTTTTATATTATACTAGCTGTTCTCCGTGACTTCGCCCGCGTGTAATTTAGGGTTTTAACTATGTTGCGCGGAACCCTAATTGTTTTTCTAAAATATAAGTAGCCTAAGTTACTCCTTATAACTTCAGTTTTCTGCCAGTGACAAACCTGTCGAAATCAGTTCAGGCGTTTCAGAGATTAGCCGGAACAAACAGACAGACAGACAAACAAAAATTTTAAAAATTGTATTTTGTTATAAGTACCGTATATACTTTCATATGCATTTAGTAAAAAGCTGGTATTTTGACATTACAAACATACACTTCAATTTTAGTTATTTGTATAGTGTCTGTGTATTGTATTGTACTTGTACACCTGTATCTATATATTATACATATTTTTTTACCGTTACAACCTATTTGTCCACTGCTGAATATGAGCATCCCCTTGGATTGCCTCATAGGGGGGATATTTGTCATAGTTGCCACGCTTGGCAAGCGGGTTGGCAACCGCAGTTTTTTTATTATTAATCGTTATTACGACGCTTAAGACGCTGCTGTCCATCTCCTGATTTGTTTCTCTCTGTCGCCTCTTACGATCCACTATATCTACAACCACATATCATACACGATATGTGGTTGTAGATATTCTTACGCCGCCACTAGTCCGTACATATTTTTTTAAAAAGTTAATCTTGTAATGTAGAGTAAGTAATCATATTCTATATAGTAAGGTTTTATTTTATTTGTTTGAGATTTTGTGAATAAGGGCAAAATTCTCCTTAGTAGCAGTATATACTGAATTTTAGTTTCTTCATGGCTTGAAGAAGAAAGTATTATAATATTAGAAGTAGGCTAAGCCGTACTTGCATGTCGGTATAACTGAAACCTATTTAACCTATTTTTTTTTTCGTTTTAAAAGCAAAAAACTTTGCGTAATACAAGAAATAAAATTATTTAGATTGGAAGACTGTTTGCCATCTGCAAGTGAAACATTGACCCGGCACGAAAATTCAAAAATCATCGTCATTGTAAACTCATAAACTTCTAGGCGAGCTTTAATTTTGAGATACCCAAATCCCTATTTATATAATTAAAGCCTATATTAATTGTATAGTTATAGCACGAATGAGTCGGCTCGACCTAGAAAGGACCACGCTCTCACAGAATACCAGCTAAAAATAGCAGCGCTGCTATGTTTCGTATGGTGGGTGTAGAGAACCGGAGAAAATTTTATTGGAAAAGAGGCATTCCATCTTAATCCTCACGGCTGACAACGCATCATTCGAAAACGAGGAGAGATGTAGATCTGTCTATGGGCCACTGCAACCACTTAATATCACTTAGTACCTGTGTGCCCGTTTCTCACGCATATTCTATAAAATAAAAAGTTGTTGGCGCCAAGCAAGACGTCGATGTAACTGGACGATTGTCCATTAATTCTAAAATATATATAAGCAAAATCATTTCGTACCTTACTTAAACTTCAAACGGTGTTCCGTCAAAGACCCATAACGACTAGAGTAGGAGAGCTAGAAAATGAGAACGCAATTTAGGAAGTTTTATAATAGCAAAATTCTTAGAAAATGTGTAAAAATTTACACATTTTTATTGAAATTCAAAAACCTGTTTCGGAAGCTGTCGTTTTAAATGTTTTAAGAATGTTCATGCCGCAAAAAGTGTTATATTATGAAGTTGTAATGTAATCTTAGTATATATAAGTCACAAACAAAACTAAGTAGACAATCAATAGTTTTATAAAAAAATATTGCCTTCATTAAGTAACTCTACAAACGAGAATACCTTTTAGAGTACACGAGTTTCTTTATAATTTCTTTGTTGATGGTCGATTATACAGGAATAACAGTTTACCATAACTTTCTCTAATCATATACAAAACTTAATTTTTACTATTATCTGTGCAACAATAGAGGACCTGGAAGAATTTGACTTAAAAAAAGTATTTATTAAAAAAAATAGTTAAATGAAAATAAAGGGGTTTGTTTAGTAACTGATTGTTTTCACTTAAAATTTGAGGCTTTTTAAAAATATTATGCATATTTAACATAAAAATTAGTTTGTGGAACAACAACAACATGCCCGATTTAGTAAAAATCTAAGATCTTTATTTAATGATTACGAGTAGGTTTGATGAATGCTAGTTAGGTATTTTACACATAATAAAGATATTTTATTCTTAACTTAGAAAATTAATTTTTACAAATCTATTTACTCGTACATACAAAACATCTCAAATTATTTCATGTTTCACTTTTCTATAAAAGTGAAGTTAATAAACTCGTTAATTTGTTGTAAATTTTCATAGATATTCAATACCCATTTTTATCTATCTGTTTATTAGTTTTGTACTTAATTTATATGCCTTAATAAACTCTTAAATAATTTCTATAGAAAGTAAAATATTTATAGATATTAACATAGGTGAGGACTAACAACCCAATATTTGTAAATATTTTTTTTTGACATGTCGGCGTGTATGTAATTATATGTAATTAATATAATAAATATTCAGCGTTATGATGTTGCCTTACATATGAATATGTAAAACAATGTTTAATGTTTATGTAAATGTAAAGAGTAAAGTAAAATTAATTGTTTTCGGTAGAAAGATGACATCATTACGAGTACATTCCGCCTTCAAAGAAAGCGGATTTTAACACCTATTTGAGTTATAACGTAAATAATAGGTAGCTGAATAAACACTTTACATTTGTTGATATATATTTTAATGAATATTTTATATAATTAAATAGTAATTTGCAAAATACTTTAAAAGAGACAGTATGTGCAATCTTGTTTTGTTAATTTCCTAAAATTACAAATTTTAAGTTACGACTTAAATGTGATTCATATTAGTAGTATTTAGACTAAAAACTTGAGAAAAAACATTATTTAAAATGATACATGCTTACTTATTTTAAATAAATTTCGTTAAGCATATATTTGCACATTTAATGACATCATATTTGAGTAAAGAGCGATGTTTGAAAAAAAAACTTATTGTATTTATAATTCTCATAACTAAGCAAAAAATTATGAATGAAAGAATTGCTTAGTTTTTGTGTGACACATCCTGTGTTATTGTTGTCGTTACCTGCCGTTCCTTTAGCCCTGTTATAGTAAAATTACTTTTCTACCTGATGTGTCATTAAATGTAGGTAGGAACGTGATCTTAACAAAAAGATATGTGCGTTATAACAATCGAAGAGGTTTAGGCGGTGTGGTAACGTAACTGTTCGAACCCGAGTATTGTTAAATTCCGGGCCGGTATTAATACCATTGCCCCCACCGCCATCCTGGTTCAGCTATTTATGAATGAACGTGACGGTCTGGCGAGCGGGCCGTTCCGCCGCGGTCACCGCCAGGTAGAAAATTACACTTTTGGAATTCTTTCAACAGACCGAGTAGAGCTACTCAACTCGGTGGCTGAGGATAAGCCGCAGCGCGGGGCGAGGGTTGAGGTGAGGGGCGTTACCAACGCGCATGCGTTGAGCTCTTTTCACTGAGACGATCCCTCCCTCTCAGTTTATTCACAGCCTTCGCGAGCGAGCACTGTGTCGTCATGTGTCGCTTACCAACTTTCTCGAGTAGTGATGTGATACGGTATTGCAGTATACAGACGAAATATCGCTAAATGTGTTCGCGTACTAAAACTGTAAGGATTATGCGATAACAATATTTTAAGTGAAAAGTAATACTGAAAAACACTGTACTTAAATCAAAATGAAGTGGTTAATAGTGGTAGTGAACGTTATGGTGTGGGGAACAATCTTAGCTGGATTTGCGCCGCCAGGATCGTGCCCTGCAGTGTGTGCGTGCAAATGGAAAGGTGGCAAGCAAACTGTGGAGTGTGTAGATCGAGCTCTCATTACAGTGCCTGAGCCCGTTGATCCTGCAACCCAAGTGCTGGACCTTTCAGGGAATAACTTACAAATTCTCCCTCAAGAAGCATTTGCTAGAACAGGACTTGTTAATTTGCAACGAGTATATTTACGTAGCTGCAATATTGGTCAAATACATGACCGCGCTTTTAAAGGTCTTACGAATTTAGTTGAATTAGATCTTTCCCATAATTTATTGACGCAGATACCTTCAAATAGCTTCAAGGACGTACCTTTTCTCAGAGATTTAACATTAAGTCACAATCCCATAATAAAAATACATTCCGATGCTTTAAACAATCTTGGAAGTATCGTTAAGCTTGATTTATCTAAATGTGATATAAGAGACATTGCATCCGATGCATTTAGGAATTTAAGATCTTTAGAGTCTCTTAAATTAAACCACAATAATCTTCGGGATTTACCATTAAATTCTTTAGAAAAAATTCAAAAACTACGAGTAATAGATTTATCGGATAATCCATGGACTTGCGATTGTCGATTGCGAGATTTAAAGCAATGGTTAGCGAAACATAAGTTACTTTCCACGCCGACATGTTCGTCACCAACTAGGTTGAATAGTAAGCCATTTTCAGAATTAAGCATTGAAGAATTTGCCTGCAAACCTGAAATTTTGCCTTTTAACAGATACATAGAGGCTGGTGTAGGAGAAAATGCAACATTAATTTGTAGAACGGAAGGTATACCAAGTGCAACTATTAATTGGTATTGGAATGGGCGATTATTACAGAATAGTAGTAATTTTAATAACCATCAAAAAATTATTATTTACGAAGAAGGAGATTCAAAAAAGAAATCTTCTCTGATTCTAACAAATATGCAAGAGTCTGATTCAATCGAGTTTTATTGTGTAGCAGAAAACAAAGGTGGTAACGCGGAAGCTAACTTCACGGTCCATGTTTCACAGATAACAGCAGGAATGGCGTCATTAGGTAGCGCACAAATAGCAAGTCTGGGAGCGGCATTATTCTTGCTTATTATTGTAATTTCACTTGGATTACTTATAACATTTGTACGATTTCGTCCTTCCCCTGTTTGCGAGAGTAAAACTCCAAATACATTGGATAGGGTTGTATCAGGAAATGAAGTACATCCAACAGCAAATGATAGACCACATGTAGCCGTTTTAGCAAACAGGCAAGAGTCACCTAATTATGGCGACGTTAAATGTAATCCGGTGGTTAAACCACCCCGAGTTAGCGATATTCCGTATACTACGAATCATTATGAAGGAAGGGGTAGCATTGTGACGGCTGGTGGTCCCGTAATGGTTTCACCAACTATTTCCGCTGGTATTGACCCAGATTTAATCAACGACACAAGATCTGACAGTGCTACTAGACCAGGAAGTGGTGAATATGCTCGAGAAACCTCAGACTCATTATACCCATCAGGCTTATGGGAGCAAATGAAAATGAACCAAGCTCACAGTCTAGCCAGAGCGGTTAGTTCTGCAATTCCCAGTTATTACACAGATAGGACACCAATAATCGAAAACTCTAGCGTAAATGGTTCCCAAGAAGAACTTGGATATACGAGTCGGACTTTTCCTCGTTCACATGCTATGGCAGTAGCCACAACTGCCCCGATGGATGCATCTTATCCTCCAGATTATGGCTTGCCGACAGCAACTGGCGCGCGCACCCTTCGCGTGTGGCAGCGCGCGCCTCCTGTTCTACCTCCTGTGTCGGCTTTGAAACGCGTATTAACCATTACGAGACCTTCAACGGAAGACGGATTTCATGATGGCTGTGCCACTGATGTTTAATTTTTATACAATGTATTAATATTAATCGAAATTTGTTCAATTGTAAATATTATATGTATACATAATTAATGTGGCGCGTGTATCCTATACGTACCTAACTAAGCTGATTAGTTACTGTTAGTACTATAGTTTTTGTATTATATAAATTATTATTTAGATAATAGAAGAAAGTTTCATTGGGTCCTAATGTTGAGGGGATCCACGACTGATTAGATGATGGAAGTAAGTGTAAATTATATCGTTATACGAAACGGTAATTAATTATCTTTTATCGCCAAATAAATTAATACGCAAATACAAAATAAAAATATATCCTGAATGTTGAAACTGAGATTAGCTGTAAGAAATAATTCCATGAATGCAAGATATCCAAAGAAATTTTCTTGTGAATAAAAAAAAAACTAATAATAATTGTTGTATTGAACTATGAATGTTATTCAATGTATGATGGTGTATGATAAACTATGTTAAAAATGATAATATTAGAGAAGTGAAAAATAAATATGGCGATTAAAATATATTCTTTTGTTTAAATGTTTTCATCCTACAAAATGAATTATGGAAATAATAATAAGTGTCCTAAAATAGCTTTAAGCTTTATATACAATTTAATTAAATGAAGCATTAGCAAAGGCGAAGGATATAATTATAACTTAGATATTTAGTATATAGTCGTATGTTTTGCAAATGTTATCGTTTTATTAGTCAATCAATTCGATGTGTCGCAGCGAAATTAATTTTCTTCTCATAAAAAAAATAGAGGTCGAGAAATATTATTCACACATTATTTCAACAATTTTCTTGCAAAGAGTGCATTAGCACTCGCCTAAGTTGTCGCTTCACTGTGATTTTCGTCTTATTTATTAAAAAGCTGAAATGTTACTATGTGAATTATATTTTTATTGAGAAAGAGCTGTTTAAAGTAAAGTAAAATAAACTTAAACCCCTTTTTATTTAAATATAATTTGAATATTACAAATGTCTTGAAGTTACTCATTTGGTGCGGTAACATATTAAGACAAGATAGATATGACGAAATTATAAAGAATTCTATACATAATAACTGAATTCTCAAAATAACTTTATATTTTTAACAGATTAAAATATTTTATTTATCAAATAAATAGTATACTGAATTAAAATGTATCACATCAATAACATTTTATTTGGAAATGGGTTTGAAAGTAAGGCATTCAAATAAAAAAGAATTTAATTTAAAAGTACTGAAAGACACTTTTTTAGAAATAAATCATAAATTTAAATTTATTATAAACTCTCAATACTCAATCTCTCCGGTCGAAAATAAAATACTTTTTTATGGAACATAAAAACGCTTAGAACAGCCTCCTTAAATATATTAAATTCAAAATAAATCGGAGTCTATACTGAAGTTTTATTTTACTACAATCATTAAATTAATACATTTTTCACACTGAATCTAGTTTAAATATTTTTTTTATTATTTTTATATGTAATTATTTACATTTATTATAATCTATCAAATCTGTTATCTAATCACGGTAAAAATGGAGATTTTAATATTTATTATTTTTAATTTTTTTAATAATATTTGTTTAAATATGAAACACATAATATCGTCGATAAATGATGGATCATAAATGGTTTAATTAGATAAATAGTAAAAAAAAAAAACCAATAACAACGCAGCTGGTTAATTTTTTTATAGTATAACGGTGACAAACGAGCACACAGTCCACCTGATGGTAAGTTGTTGCTGTGGCCCATAGACATATACATCTATCCTCACCAAAGAATCAAAATGCGGATGCATTGTCACCCGTGAAGGCTAAGATGGAATGCCTCATTTCCAGTAAAAAGGATATCCGGTTCTCTACACTCACCATACGAAACAGGTACGTTAAGCTGCTATTTTACGCTGGTATTCTGTGAGAGCGTGATCCTTCCCCGGTCGAGCCGAACCATTCCTGTTACAAATATATCAAATATATAGCTGCAGCATGGCTCTACTACGTATGAAAACTTAATTTAAAGTTTTTTCATACTAAATACTCTACTTAAACAACGATAGCAAATAATTTAGTATCATAGTTAGAATAAAATGAATGGATCTGCAGTACGTATTATTCACTTCATTGAAGTGATCAAGCTGGTTGTATTTGTGACAAAAATATGGGGTCGTTTTCTCAGTCCCAAGCTCCGAAGAAACCGGTTAGCGCTATTTCATTTCCGCTCAATTCGGTTTTTTATTACAAAAAAACGAAGCCCTAAGCGGGTTCAATGGAATGGAGTTTGAGGCGTGAAGTTAGTGGTCAAATAATATAAAACGAGTTTTGAATATTTTGAATATAGGTTTATGAATGAAGGAAAGTATAATTTTATATGCTTTTTATGTTACTAGGTTTTCTATCAGAGGGGATGGAAACAATAAATCAATCGCCATCATATTCGTCATTACAGTTCTTTACAAGTCCACTGATGAACATGCCAAGGAATGCCAAAGAACTCGGTCCTGAGCCACCTGCACCCATCGACTTCCCGTGTCATTCCATTTAGTGTGGGGGGGGGGGGGGGGGCACCCTACCACCCTACACGTCACTTCCCGTTACGCGACTGCCACGTAAATTTTTCATCCACATCGATTGCCGGCTCTCCAAGTTGGTCCAAGTTGGTCAATTTTATTGCGAATATCTTTATAATAAATTCTATCACTCGGGAGACACTCCAAGTATAGCTTTCTTTATAGTTAGCTGAGCGTCTTCAAGCTTCCTCATAGTGCAAACAGAGAAGAACCAAGACTTAGTTCCATATGTCATCACTGGCAAAGCGCACTAGTTGTACTCTCTTATTTTCAAGTTTTGATTTATACGTGAGGAGATGTGTCGTAATCTTCCAAACGCTACTCAGCCTAGTTGGATCCGCCTATTGACCTCTAGGTCGAATTAGAATTTTTTGTCCTAGGTAAACATACTCCACAACAACTTCGAGCGTAGTATGCCCAACAACCACCGGCATATATGAGATATACATGTTACAGAAGACCTTTGTCTTGTCCATGTTCTTATTAAGACCTATCCCTTGCGAGACACTATTGATCTCATATAGCATAATATAGTGCTAAGGTTCCAGCGATTCTGCCATAATGACTATAACGTCGACAAATCGAAGATGAGTGATTTTCTCGCCATTAATGTTGATGCTGTATGCTTCCCAGTTTGATAGAATAATAAATCTATAATTTAATTAATTTTAAAATATTTTTATATGAGGTGAAATTACTTTTATTAACTTATTAAAATATGTAAGAAGAATGATTTCTTTATTTTCATAATGTTGACTGTCTTAGCAAAATGCTAAAACATTGGACGAGCTTTAAAAATTTGAATGTAAAATTGATTCGGAAATAATTATGTAGGTAAGTGAATATTTCTGTAAATAATTCTAGTAATAAAATAGGCAGTTGACATGATGCTATGTAATGTGTCTGCTTTGATTTCTGAAAAATTTTGAGATCTTATAAAAATGTTAGTTTTAAAATTGAAACGGCAATTAATATATTTAAATATTTTTAATTTTTATTTACTCAGTTTGTCCGTAGTTTTCTCATTAATATGATCGGGTAAGGCGTCATGAAATGCGTGCACTCACCTATAAAACAATGTTTTACTAAAAAGTTGCATAAAATATGGTAAATAAAGTAGTTTTAAAAATCGATGATTTGAATCCGCCTGTACCAAGTTTAGTGGTAGTTAATAGTAGTCAGTTTATTAGTAAATAGTTTAGTAGTAGTTAACAGCAATATTAGTGAGATTTTAAGTAAAATATAAAATCACTAACCTACATCAAGATTTCCTCTGTCCTAGTAGGTAAGATTGATCAAAACAAAGAGATATATAGTAATGGATTTTCTAAGACGTCGACGAACAGCAAATGTGAAGATTAAATTAGCAAATATAATAAGTACTGGGAACTTTTCGCTTTCTTTTCGTTTTGTAAAGTGACTCATTAACTTTCACTAACAACAATCATATTACTCAAAAGCGTCTGTTCGTTAAATAATGATTTAGGTGTAAGTTCCCATAGCTGTAAATATAAAAAATATTAATAAAATATTTTTAATAAGTTATTAATAAATTTTAATCTATTTAAATAAAGAAGGATGTCCTGTGTAACTGACTTATCTATTAACACACATCCTATTAAATATTAATAATAAATTATTAATACATTTTAATCTATTTAAATAAAGGAGGATGTCCTGTGTGACTGACATATCTATCAACGCATAGCCTTAGCCACTTGAAGTTGAAACCTGAAATTTGGACAGTAGCTGTCTTTTATGATATAGGCATCCATCAACAAAGGATTTTTGAAAATCCAACTCCTAAAAGGGTGAAATGGGGTATTACGGTTTGTATGAAAAAAAATCCACAGCCTCGTACTTGTAACATTGAAGTAATATGTACGTACGTAGTACATAATAACTCAACGATTTGTGAGCGGATTTTAAGGCGGTTCCTCATTTTAAGGACGTGACGATCAGGTTGATCAATGCAGGTGGCTCAGGGTCGTGTTTTGTGGCATATTTAGCGCCTGCCTTTGTGGGGCTGTGTTGATAAAGATGAACTCAATTGTGGCGGGGTCATAGGGACTTCCATGAATCCGTTTCTTTCCGTGAATATTATAGCAAATCTTTTTCAGGAGAGGCCCATGTGGACTATTACGCACTGTTGAAAACGAACAAGTTAATATGTTATTAGATAGTAAATTGTTTCCTTGCGATAACATATACAGAGTACAATTTACAAGCGCCATTTAAATGGTAATTATAAATTAATTGTAATGGCGCTCTTGATAAACATACTCAAGATCTGTTTATGGGCGATTGAAATTACGTGACGATTATGGATATCATTTAAAATATGAAACAGTAAAAAGGTAAAAACCTTTCATGATGGACATCATTTCCGTTCGTCGTTATGTGTCCATTTGACGCGGGCAAAAAGTTACGTCCGCTATAT